CTTTTTGCCATTACCAAAGGATACACTCCCTCCTTGCAGGGCTTTGAGTGAAAGAAAATTATCAGTGCTTCCAGTCATATGCTTAGAGCAAGCACTTTCCATATACTATCTTTGGCTACTTCCTTTCACTTCTCCCTGCACAATGAAATCAAGGATTAGACTTAGGAACCCAAACAAGTTTGGGTCCCTTGTAATGAGGAAAAGGGTGAATCAAGGCTCTTCTTGTCCAGGCAGTCACACACGTTTTTTATTTAAGGGACCAGGTTCTTTAGCAGTAGTTACTTTTTCAGCAAAAACTTTATTTTTCTGGTGGGACTGAAATCTAGCTTTAGAGGTTTCTTTAAAGCGCCCAGTGTTACCACAGTGAGTGCAAAGCCAGTTGTCAGGGACAGTAACATACTTGCTATGAGGATTGTAAGGAGTCTTTTCCTTTTGGAACCCGATTCCCTTCATGTTCCCCCATTGTTCTTATACATAGCGGTGATTGCATCAAAGGACCAGGTCCACTTAAGAGATTTTTCTAGGTCATTCTTAACCATACGTAGATCTTCCTAAATTTGTCTATTTCTCTCAAGTTCAGTATACAGACTAGATTTCACTGATTTTAGCTCATCATCAAGCCTAAGGTGTGCCTCACTTGCAACTTTCTTTCCCTTTTGAGTGTTTTCATGTCTGCTTTCCCCTTTTAATTCATCAATTGTCTCCTTTAGGTCCACAACTACTACTAACAAGTCATCTCTCTCATGCTCTACGTTTGCAATTTTTTCAATTAAAGCATATTTTTCATTTTTTAAAGTCTCAATAGTTTCTTTTAAATCAACCACTACAACTACTAGATCATCTCTCTCATGTTTTATTTCTCCTAGTTCCACAGTTCGCACATTTTTATCATTGATAAGATCGTGATATGTATCAATTAGAACATTTGCCAAGGATATAAGTTTCTTTTAAGAGTAAGACTTCAAATTTCTTTGAACGTCCAGAAAGTTTACCTCATCTTCATGATCATCAAATTTTGCCATCAGGGCAAAGATAGTGTCATACTCAGCTGCTTCACTTTCAACGGCCATCATAGAAGTATCACCTTGTTCATCATCTCCTTCAGATTCACTGGAGGAATCTCCCTATGCAGCAAGAGCTTGTTTCACAACATTGTCATCAACGTCTTTTCTCTTGAATCTTCTGTCAGGAACTGGGTTCCTCTTGACTGCTTTGTCAGTGTTATGCTTGTACTGATCCTGCTTGTGCGAAGGACAATCTTTGATGAAATGTCCTGGATTTCCACATTTATGACACAAGTCATAGCCTTTTGGTCTGTCGGAGCTACCCCTTTTTGGAATGCCTCCATTTTTGTGCACCATCTTCTGGAATCTTTTTGTTAGATACACCATGTCAGCATCCTCACCACTTGAGTCATTATTATCAGCCTTGAGGACTAGGTTCTTCTCTTTCTTGGGTTCTCTTCTTTCATGGTCCTTCTTTTTCTTCATTTCATATGTCTTCAGATTTCCAATGAGTTCATCAATGGTCAACTTTTGCAAATCCTTTGCCTGTGTGATAGCATTAACCTTGCTTTCCCAGGAACCAGGTAATACACTAAGTATTTTCCTGACAAGTTTGTTCCTTTGAATGATTTCTCCTAGAGAGTGAAGCTCATTAATGATGGAGGTGAATCGAGTGTGCATATCCTGAATGGACTCATCATCCTTCATCTTAAAGAGTTCAGACTCAGTGGTGAGCATGTCGATCTTTGACTTCTTGACTTGAGTTGTTCCTTCGTGTGCCGTTTGGAGAGCTTCCCATATTTCTTTGGCAGATTCACAGGCAAAGATCCTGTTGTATTCGTCTGGTCCGGTACCACAGACGAGGATTTTTTTTGCTCGAAAGTTCTTCTCTATAGCTTTGCGGTCAGTATCGTTGTACTCCTTCCTTGTCTTGGGAGCTGTCACTGCTGGTTCGCCAATGGTCTTCATAGGAACGAAGGGTCCATCGCATAAAACATCCTAGAGCTCTGAATCTTCAGCCATAATGAAATAATACATCCTTGTCTTCCACCATCCATAGTATTGGCCATTTTATCTTGGTGGTCTGTAGGTAGATTGACCTTCTTCAAAGTTTGGCGGAGTAGCCATGAGGATCCTTTCTAGGTGTTAGCCTAATAGAAAGAACCTACTCTAACACCAATTGATAGAAACTAAGGGTCTACCAAACTATAGAGAGAACCTGGTTCTCTATTAGTTTCCACAGAACACATACACACGGCAGTAAGTAAATGACAAAGTAGAGTTTTACGTGGAAAAGTCCCAGCTCACGGGATTAAAAACCACGACCTACACTCGTAGGATTTCAACTTCACTACTGAGCAAATTTCATATTACAAACTATTATAACCTAGGAATTAAACTCTTAATCCATCACTCACTTGTAATAACTCTATTACAAGCCCCCTTGAATAACTCTATTACAAGCCCCTTTGTAATAACTCTATTTTAAAGCTTACAACTCGACTAACTCTAGCCAAGACACAAACACATGATTTATGGTTTTACAAAAGGTTTCCTACACAATGCTTCTAGATAAGCTAAGTAGGAATTACAAATAAATCACTTTAAAAAAGGTACAACATAGCTAAGGACATGTAATGACTCGGTGCAGGAAACTGGTCCTTCATTATGATGTTCTTTGTTCTTGAAGCCCTTAAAGTCACTTGCAAGTTGGCAGCACACTTGAGAGAAAGCTTGATTAATTCTGGAATGTGCAAGTGTCTTGTTTTTCCTTTGCTTCATGTTAATATTACACAAGTGACATCACTTCGATGATGCAAGCATATTTGGTACAAGGGCATTCCCCATAAAGTGACTGCTGCACTGTTTGTACTGTTTCGTGTGTGCAGAAGAACAGTTGTAGCAACGTTACAGCTGCGGGGTGTTGACTGGTACAGTCCATCTATTCCCTCTGTTGTTTCTTTGACTCTGAATTGTTGAAACATGTCCTAGACTTGAGACTGCTGTTCTTGAGCACTTTAAGGATGTGGAACAGGTTCCCCATCTGGTTCTTATCATTAAGTTTGTTAAATCATCAAAACATAACAGGATACATAACCTATCAAAGGTAAGTTGTTTTTTTCCACCAATCATCCACTTCTCTTAGCGCGACGTAAAACATATGAAATATGTTACATATTAGAGCTTGAATTTGTGTGAAATTCCAAAATTGGTAGTATTGGTTTGGGGCTAAAACATTATCTTGAATAAGAATAATGGTTAAAAATAAGGGATTGATTTAATGGTATTTGTCTTCCGGACAATTCTAGGTAGGGGTGTACATGGACCGAGTCGGTTCGTTTTATGTCAAAATCAATCCAAACCGATCAAACCAAACCAATTATATCGGTTTGGATTGGTTCGGTTTTTTCGGACTTTTTTGTTACATGAATATTATTTCAATCTTACGTCGTTAAAGTTATAGATAAAGTTTTGATAAGTGAATATATGTTTAGTAAATATAGAAATAACTGACAAACATATGATCTATTAAAATATTCTTATGGGAGAATTTTTTAGTAATACGTGCTAGTTATTTTTTTAGTTGTCTAACAATAATTTTTCGTTGATGTATGCTTTCAAGGTTATCCGAATATAATAATTAAGCATAGAATAAATATGAAACCTAAATAATGATATGTGTATTTAATTTTAAAATTATCGAACTACCATTTCAAATTCCAAAAAGGTATAAATTTAATAGATTTTGACATATGCATATGAAAGAACAAAGAGATTGGCGTATTTCAACAACACTTGGTAAGAAAGTGATGATACAACTTATTACTTAACGTAAATAAATATGGATGCACTTCATAGTTCTATTAAATATTACATCCCATGAGAGAATCCCAAATATTCAAAGACATTTTCTAAAGAAATTCTATATAAAAATTATATATTTATATTTCGGTTTGGTTCGGGGTTTTTTACTCAATACCAAACCAAACCTAATCGAGTTTTTTAATCAATTTGGTTTGACTTTTCGGTTTGGTGCGGTTTTCCGGTTCGGTTTGAGCACCCCTAGCTAATTCTAGACATCACTTCTCTTTTGACATATTTTGGTGCTAAGAAGTGCAAGCTTATATTTACCAAAATTGTGTTAAGAATTACTTCTAATGGGACTAAGGAATTCCAAAGCGAAAATAATGGGACTTTAATTTGAGAAGGCCCTTGAATTCCTTCAGTTGGATTCTTGTAACCTATAAAGGTGCTGCACAAAGAATAAAGTTCCTTTATTTCATGTCGATTGATTTATTTTCAGAGTAAAACTAAATTAACTTTGATGACAATGAATATTGAAAAAGATAGCCCGAATACTGAATAGAGTCGAAATGGACAACATTCATATACATAATGTAGACTAGTTTGGGATTGAATAGAAACTGAAGGTTTATGGTTGATTAATGTATATTTGATCTGGTGAGCCGTGAGGAGTACAAGAGACTCCACCTATGTGACAAAATATAATGGATCCTAAGTTTGGAGCATTTTCTACTAGCTTCTTGACATCACATATGCCTAATGAATTACATGAACTTGTTGACTGAATTAACATCACCAATAAGAATACGTTCTTAGTCATTTTAAGCCGCCACTAATGCTTGCATTAAGGTAGGCTGTCTAAATCACACCTTTTGGTGCGCGACCCTTTCCTGGACCCTCCATGAATGCGGGATGCTTTGTGCAACGTTCACCGAAATAAGAAAAGAATGGTTCGGTACTAGTCAATATTACATGTTGAACATGTTGAATTCGTGATAGCGATATTAGATGAGCTACAAAAAATAGTTGGCCCTAACTAACTTGGGATTGAGACATACTTGATTGATTAAAGGTGTTGTTTGGAAGCAGCAAATTCAGATGGTGTTAATTTCATGATGGATTTTTGTTAATTTACTTTTCCAGTATATAGGAGTCCAACTCAGTAGGCTGGGCTAGGATTGTTTTTCATAGTCATTTTAAACTACTTTTTCCATTAAAACAGAATAACAGAATTACAAAAAGCTAGACAAAATATAAACCTCTCACTTGGGAGGACAGAAAGTTACCAAATATCTAGATGCCCTACATGTGTAAAGGCTGGAAGCATCATCAAATGCATAACTATAAGCCTTTGGGCAAATAGCCTTAAAGAGATGAGCAAAAACAGTTGGTTTGCAAGTTTTGGGATTTGCATACTCTCCTGTGCAGCAGTATTTTGGTGATTGTATAGCCAAACATGCACTTTTGCACCCTACAACTTTCTCTCCAGACTTAACTTCCAATGCAGATGGACAACATATGTTTAAATCAACTTCACATTCTGCTATTCCACAACCAACACCTCCGCCCACAGGTTTCATCGATACAGGCAAGTTAAACCCATCGACTAAGCTCACATCGTAGAAATGTAAAGGCGAAGTCGATGAGCCTAATGTCATTTCCACAACAGTAGCCGGGGGTTCACCTCCCATCCCCCGGCACTGTAGTTGGCTACCACAATCTCCCGTATCACATTTTCCTTTCCCATTCTCGTCAAAATGGCAATTCTGTCTACCCCATATTCTACCCGACCACTTCTCAGGCACGTCGAGGACTATTTGCTCGCCACTGTTGAGGTGAAAGCCGCCATCTTTTAGAGTAGTCTGCCCTGCACCGCCAAGAATTCCAGGCCATATGCTCTCCTTGCAGTTGTTTACAAGAATCACTTGTGTTCCATCTGCAGTCAACAAAATAATGGTAAAATTAGTCTATTTTTCTTATGTATGTATTCAGTTTGAATAAGTCGTATCTTGCTTAGACTAATAGATAGCGTTGTTTGAATACAAAGAAGAGAAAATGAGTTAAAGTTGAAGAATTACCAGTGCAAAAAAGAAAAAGAAATATGCAGAGCAAAATATGAACAAGATAAGGTGAAATAAGCATTTTGGATGTTGGCTCTACTAAGTGAGAATAAGAGCTGATGATCAGTTTTCTGGACAAGGACTCAGTTTTTAAAGGACAAACTTACTCTTTAGGGGTGAGGGCTTGTGTACTTACTTTATGTCTCTTTTTTCTTTTTTCCTTTTTCGATATTTTAATATGTTGTTTTGTTTTAGCTTTTTCTTTGGAATGAAAAGGAATATATGCATTGCTTCAAGTGGAGGACTTGTACTTACCTGTTAATAAATGGGAGTGGCAAATATCACACAGTTAAAGTTTGAAGAAAATGGTCAAGGGCTTTACAGGTCAAGATGAGTCATCACTCACCAGATGTATGAAATTGTATTAAATAATCAAGCAGATAAGTTTGGACATCATTGCGTATTTTCGGTAACGTGAT